AGTGGGAACTACCACCCACACTATGGGTATGGTAACTACCACCCACACTATGGGGGTGTGGGGAACTGCCACCCACACTATGGTATGTGGAACTACAACCCACACTATGGGTATGTGGTAATACCACCCCCCACTATGGGAATGGGTAACACCACCCACACTTGGGGATGGGTAACTACCCCCCCACAACGGGGATGTGGAACACCACCCACATATGGGATGTGGGAACTACCACCCACACTAGGGTATTGGTAATACCACCCCACTATGGGTAGTTAACTACCACCACACTATGGGTTTTGGGGGAACACGACCGACATATGGGGATGTGGAAAATACCACCCACACTAGGGTATGTGGTAAATGCCACCCACACTAGGGTAGGGGAAAAATACCCCCCCCCCCACTATGGGTAGTGGTAACTGCCCCCACACTAGGGTATTGGAACTACCACCCACACTATGGGTAGTGGTAACACCCCCCCCACACTAGGGTATTGGGAACTGCCACCCACACTTGGGTATGGTAACACCCCCACACTATGGGTATGTGGTAACTGCCACCCACACTATGGGTATGTGGTAACTGCCACCCACACTATGGGTATGTGGTAACTGCCACCCACACTATGGGTATGTGGTAACTGCCACCCACACTATGGGTTGTGGTAAATGCCACCCCCATATGGGGGAGTGGTAAACCCCCCAACTAGGGTATGTGGGAATACCACCCACACATGGGAAGTGGTAACTGCCACCCACACTATGGGTATGTGGTAACTACCACCCACACTATGGGTATGTGGTAACTGCCACCCACACTATGGGTATGTGGTAACTGCCACCCACACTATGGGTATGTGGTAACTACCACCCACACTATGGGTATGTGGTAACTACCACCCACACTATGGGTATGTGGGAACTGCCACCCCACTATGGGATTGGGAAATCCACCCACATATGGGTATGGGTAACTACCACCCACACTATGGGTTTTGTGGTAACTACCACCCACACTATGGTATGTGGTAATACCCCCCACCTACGGGTAGTGGGAAAATACCACCCCACACTATGGGGATGTGGTAAACCCCCCACACTAAGGGATGTGGTAACTACCACCCCACTATGGTATGTGGAACTACCACCCACACTAGGGGTTTTGGTAACTACCACCGACACTATGGGTAGTGGGAACACCCCCCCCACAAAGGGGAGTGGAACGCCACCCACACAAGGGGATGTGGGAACTGCCACCCACACTTGGGAGTGGTAACTGCCACCCACATATGGGTAGTGGGAACACCACCCCCACGGGTATGTGGAAAAACCCCCCACAAATGGGGATGTGGGAACTGCCACCCACATATGGGTAGTGGGAACTACCACCCCCAAAATGGGTATGTGGTAACGCCCCCCACACTATGGGTAGGGTAAATGCCACCCACATATGGGGATGTGGAACTGCCACCCAAAAGGGTATTGGGAACTGCCACCCAACATGGGTATGTGGTAACTGCCACCCCACTATGGGGAGTGTAACTACCACCCACACATGGGGATGTGGTAACTACCCCCACATAGGGTAGTGGGGGAAATGTCACCCCCTATGGGATGTGGGAACTACCACCCCCATATGGGGGGTGGTAACTGCCACCCACACTATGGGTAGGGGTAATGCCACCCACATATGGGTAGGGAACTGCCCCCCACACTATGGGTATGTGGTAACTACCACCCACACTATGGGTATGTGGTAACTACCACCCACACTATGGGTATGTGGTAACTGCCACCCCACATGGGTAAAATGGGAACTACCACCCACATATGGGAATTTGGGAACTACCCCCAACTATGGGGGAAAGTGGGAACTACCACCCACAAATGGGTATGTGGTAACTGCCCCCAACATGGGAGTGGTAATGCCACCCCCCAAATATGGGTATGTGGGAATACCCCCCACCTAGGGTATGTGGGGAAATACCACCCACACATGGGGGATTGGTAACTACCACCCACACTTGGGTAAGTGGTAATGCCACCCACACTATGGGTAGTGGAAAAAAAAACCCCCACTAGGTAAAATTTGGGAACACCCCCCACACATGGGATGGGTAACTACCACCCCCAAATATGGGGATGTGGTAACTGCCCCCCACACTTGGGTATTTGGGAACTCCACCCACACTTGGGTAGTGGTAACTACCACCCAACTAGGGATGGGGAACTACCACCCACACTATGGGGAGTGGTAATACCACCCCCACATGGGTTGTGGGACGCCCCCCCACCATGGGTATTGGTAAAATACCCCACACTATGGGTTGTGGTAACTACCACCCCACAAAGGTATTGGTAATGCCACCCCACTATGGGTAGGGTAATACCCCCCCCAAGGGTATGTGGTAACTGCCCCCACACAAAGGGGATGTGGTAACTGCCCCCCCACACTATGGGGATGTGGTAACTCACCCACACTAGGGTAGTGGTAACTACCCCCCCCTATGGGTATTGGGGAACTACCACCCACCTTGGGTAAATTGGGAACTACCCCCCCAACTAAGGGAGTGGTAACTGCCCCCCAACTAAGGGTATGGGTAACTACCACTACACTTTTAAAAAAGGAAATTTTGGGAACTCCACCCACAATGGGGATTGGTAAATACCACCCCCACTATGGGATGTGGTAACAACCCCCCACACTATGGGTAGTTAACTACAACCCCCCATTGGGTATGTGGAACTACAACCCAACATGGGTATGTGGAACACCACCCACACTATGGGTATGTGGTAACTACAACCCACATATGGGGAAAGTGAAAAAAAAACCCCCCAGGTATGTGTAAATACAACCCCCATATGGGTATGGGTAACACCACCCCACTTGGTATTGGGGGAACTACAACCCACACTAGGGTATGTGGGAACACCACCCACACATGGGTATGTGGGAACTAAACCCACACTATGGGTTTTTGGTAATACAAAACCCCCACTATGGGTAGTGTAACACAACCCCCCTATGGGTATGGGGTAAACCCCCCCCACACTTGGGGATTTGGAAAAATAAACCCACACATGGGGATTGGTAACTACAACCCACATATGGTATGTGGTAAATACCACCCCACTTGGGGATTGGTAACTACCACCCCCAAAAGGGTATGTGAACTACCACCCACACTAGGGTATGGGTAACTACCCCCCCACTATGGGGATGTGGAACTACCACCCACCTATGGGGGGTTTTTTAACACCACCCACACTATGGGATGTGGTAATTTCCACCCACATATGGGGATGTGGTAACTACCCCCCCCACACAAAGGGTATGTGGTAACACCACCCACATATGGGAGTGGTAACTACCCCCCACACTATGGGTATTGGTTAACTACCACCCACACATGGGATTTTTAACTACCACCCCACTATGGGATTTTTAACTACCACCCCACTATGGGTAAGTGGTAACTACCCCCACCTTGGGGGGGTGTGGAAAAACCATCCTACCCCCCGAGCTCGATTTGGTTAGGGGCACTCAGGTCACACCTGAGGTCCGTGGGTTTGATCTTCGGTACGGCTGGAAAAATTAGGGCGGTTTCCCTTTAAAACACCTGGCCGTTCACCTAGCAGTAAGTAGGTACCTGGTGTTAGTGGGCTGGGGGGGTCACATCCTGGGGGTTAGTGGACTGTGTGGGGGCCTCCTGGGTGTTATGGCTGGTGTGGGTCAACCTGGGGGTTGTGGACTGGGTGGTCACACCTGGGGGTTAGGGACTGGTGTGGGGCACATCCGGGTGTTAGTGGACTGGTGTGGGTCCCCATCCTGGGTTATGGACTGGTGGGGTCACGCCTGGGGGTTAGGGATGGGGTGGGGGGCACTTGAGTTCTTGCTGACCTCTCAGCATCTGAGTTCTTACCTCTCCTAGTGGCCTACGTCTCACCTCTTGGCGCTATAAAAAGCTCCATCCTGTCACTTCTCCATATTGTTTCATACTATGGAACAATGCTCTTCTCCAGACTGAGGGACTGACCACCTCAAAACTGTACTTGACTGAAGAAGCCTACTGTGTAGGCGAAACGTTTCATAATAAAGATACCTAACTGTTGCATATGTGTCTTACCTAACAACCTGTCGGTATTTTATACCATTTTAATGTTCACATTTCCAGTTCATTATCCGTCAGCTGTCCATTCCCAGATTTCAGAGGTCCTACTTTTTCCTTCACCTTCGTCCTATACACTTGAAAGAACCCCTTTGGATTAGTCTTTGATTCATTAGCGACTCTAATTTCATAGTCACGTTTAGCCTTTCTAATCGCCTTTTTTACTTCTCTTTTAAGCTGAACATGTAGATAAATGGTTCAGAGAACCGACATGTTGATAAAGATGGACTGACCACATCGACTCAAGGTTGAGGGACTGATTACCTCATTCACCTCCTCTCCTTACGCCTTCCTCTTTGTATTGGACTGATGAAGCCACTGTGTGGCGAAACGTTTCCTGAATAAAGATTTCCATATGCTGCATAAGTGTCTCAATCTTCAACTTGTCGGTTTTTCAAACCATTCATCACAACTGCCTAGAATGGGCCAGTAGCTTAGGCCAGTAGGTGACTTAAACCTGCCTAGAATGGGCCAGTAGCTTAGGCCAGTAGGTGACTTAAACCTGCCTAGAATGGGCCAGTAGCATAGGCCAGTAGGTGACTTGAATCTGACTAGCTTAGGCCAGTAAGTGACTTGGACCCGCCTAGAATTGGTCAGTAGGCCTGCTACAGTGCTCCTTGTCCGTGTTCCTTCTTTAAGAACATAAGAACGAAGGAACACTGCAGGTCCAAGTCTCCTACCGGATTAAGCCACCCAACCCAGTCAGGTCAGGTCACATTGACTTAAGAGCAGCATCTTAGACAGAAACTGGTTGAGTGGATGAAAGTGGGAGGTGCTTAGTGAGATAAAGTACCTGATTGCTAGTATAATGTAGCCAGTAGTGCAATAACGGTACCAGTAGTGTGGTAGCGCTACCTCACAACACATGTATCACTCTCCAGCCAGCGTCCGTCAAGGTCTCCCGTGGAATATTTAATTAACACGAGTCAAGATGAGGGAATACATTTATGGGAAACAAGGAGATACAACACCGGTGTCTTTCCACATCCCACGACTGGAAGTAAACAATGGTACGTAAAATATTGTTATGTGCAACACTTGGGTATCTTTAGTGAGAAAATGTTGCACATTTCTCCAATTTATCAACTTGTCGCTACTCTGAACCACTAGTCTATAATAATGCTATTATGTTTATTTATATATGGTATGCGTAAATGGGGTAAAATCTGAGTGGGGATCTGTAACAAGTGGCGTTCCACAGGGATCAGTTTTAGGCCCATTGTTAGTTATAATATAAATCAATGACCTTGACGAGGGAATTACTAGAGATATGAGCAAATTCTTGATAATACGAAGATAGGTGGGATAATTGATTCAGACGAAGATGTCACGGAACTTTAGGATGATTTAGACAAACTCAATTCGTGGTCAGAAGAGTGGCAGATGAAGTTCAATGTAGATAAATGCAAGGTTCTGAAGCTCGGTAGTGTTTATGACCCTAGTACTTATCAGTTAAATAATGAAGAAGATTGAGACACTTATGCAGCATATGGGAATCTTTATTCAGGAAACGTTTCGCCACACAGTGGCTTCTTCAGTCCAATACAAAGAGGAAGGCGTAAGGAGAGGAGGAGAATGAGGTAATCAGTCCCTCAACCTGGAGTCGATGTGTTCAGTCCATCAATCTTGTAGAATGTACAGCATAGGGCCGTACATGGACTGAACACATCGACTCCAGGTTGAGGGACTGATTACCTCATTCTCCTCCTGTTCTTCAAGTTTCTCCTTCGTATGGACTGATGAAGCCACTGTGTGGCGAAACGTTTCCTCAATAAAGATACCCAAGAGTTGCATATGTGTCTAATTTATCAGCTTTATACATCATTAGTAAGGCCTCACCTAGATTATGCAGCTCAATTCTGGTCTCCATATTACAAAATGGACATAAATTCGTTAGAAAACATTCAGCGTAGGATGACTAAATTAATACATAGCATTAGAAATCTTCCTTATGAAGAAAGATTGAAGACTCTTAAGTTACATTCACTTGTTAGACGAAGAATGAGGGGAGACCTGATCGAAGTGTATAAGTGGAAGATAGGTATTAATAAAGGGGATATTAACAGGGTCTTGAGGATATCTCTCCAAGAGAGAACCCGCAGTAATGGATTTAAATTAGATAAGTTTAGATTTAGAAAGGACATAGGAAAGTATTGGTTTGGAAATAGGGTAGTTGATGAGTGGAACAGTCTACCTAGTTGGGTTATTGAGGCTGGGACTTTGGGTAGTTTCAAATTTAGGCTGGATAAGTACATGAGTGGGAGGGGTTGGATTTGAGAGGGACTTTCACATCAGAGCTTATTTCTTGGGTGTCATTGAAAATTGGGCTGATCAAATGTTTGTTAGTGGGATGAATTGTAAAGGACCTGCCTAGTGTGCTGAAAATATCTAGCCTAGACAGGACTCGCAGCAATGGTTTTAAGTTGGAAAAATTCAGATTCAGGAAGGATATAGGAAAGTACTGGTTTGGTAATAGAGTTGTGGATGAGTGGAACAAACTCCCAAGTACCGTTATAGAGGCCAGAACGTTGTGTAGCTTTAAAAATAGGTTGGATAAATACATGAGTAGATGTGGGTGGGTGTGAGTTAGACCTGATAGCTTGTGCTACCAGGTCGGTTGCCGTGTTCCTCCCTTAAGTCAATGTGACCTGACCTGACTAGGTTGGGTGCATTGGCTTAAGCCGGTAGGAGACTTGGACCTGCCTCGCATGGGCCAGTAGGCCTTCTGCAGTGTTCCTTCGTTCTTATGTTCTTATGTTCTTATGTATGGGCCAACAGGCCTCCTGCAGTGTTCCTCCTTTCTTATGTTCTTATGTGGAAAAAGACACTTGTGTACAGTTCAGGACATTTATTAAAGGAAACGTTTCGCCACGAGTGGCTTCTTCAGTCCTAATACAGAGAAAACTAAGAAAACATTTATATATATAGTGGCAGGAGTCAGGTGAGGTGACGCGTGGGTAGAGGTGGTAGTAGTAGTAGTAGTAGTAGTAGTAGTAGTAGTAGTAGTAGTAGTAGTAGTAGTAATGGAACTAAGGAGGTGAGGCGAGAGAGGGACCTGCTGGCATCAAGTAACACCAGTTCCCAGGATGGGTAATATCCTCTTGCTTAGTAATTTTGAAATACTGTAACTACCGGATTTTTGCTTTATAGTGTTACTGACAGAAATTAGTGCAGCTTCAATGCATTTTCTCCGTCTTAAGTCGTCTTCTTTAATAACTAGTTTAGCTTCATTGAATTTCACGAGGTGTCCAACATCGTCTCTATGTTGAACACATGGACTGTGGTCAGTCCCTCAGTCTGGAGAAGAGCATTGTTCCATAGTCTGGAACAATATGGAGTTGAAGTGACAGGATGGAGCTTTATATAGCGCCAAGAGGTGAGACGTAGGTCACTAGTAGAAGTAAGAACGCAGATGTTGGGAGGTCAGGTCCCTCTTAAATCCAGCCGTTCTCACTAGTAGAGGTTGTTGAAGTTGATTGCAGGTCAGTACCAAGATACCCTTGTGTTGTAGATGAATGGTTCAGAGAACCGACATGTTGATAAATTAGACACATGTGCAACTCTTGGGTATCTTTATTGAGGAAACGTTTCGCCACAGTGGCGAAACGTTTCCTCAATAAAGATACCCAAGAGTTGCACATGTGTCTAATTTATCATACCCTTGTGTTGCAGTGTCTGTCTTATATTACATGAGAGGGAAGGGCTGGGTTTGATTGGTGTCGTGGGTATGGGAATAAATTCTTGGATAGCTTTGGATAGTGGTGGTTTTGATAAGGACCTGCCTCGTATGGGCCAGTAGGCCCGTTCTTATGTTTTATACATCAGTAGTAAAGCCTCACCTAGATTATGCAGCTCAGTTCTGGTCTCCATATTACAAACTGAATATAAACTCATTAGAAAACATCAAGCGAAGAATGACAGAATTAATACATTAGAAATCTTCCTTATGAAGAAAGATTGAAGACCCTTAAATTACATTCACTTGTAAGACGAAGAATGAGGGAGACATGATCGAAGTGTATAAGTGGAAGATGGGTATTAATAAGAATGGTTAAGAAAGACACGTAAGCAAACACTATAACATATTTATTAGAAAACGTTTCGGTCCTGGGACCTTGATCACTTCTAACATACAGAGGTAGAAGTGATCAAGGTCCCAGGACCGAAACGTTTTCTAATAAATATGTTATAGTGTTTGCTTACGTGTCTTTCTTAACCAGCTTGTCGGTATTTATTACCAAGGTTTATACCATTAATAAGAATATAAGAATGGAGAAACACTGCAGAAGGCCTACTGGCCCATACAAGGCAGGTCCTTATCAAAACGACCTCTACCCAAAGCTACACAAGAATTAACTCCCGATATTAGTCAGGTCTTGAGAATATCTCTCCAAGAGAGAACCCGAAATAATGGATTCAAATTAGATAAGTTTAGATTTAGAAAGGATATAGGAAAGTATTGGTTTTGAAATAGGGTAGTTGATGAGTGGAAGTGCCTGGTAGGGTGATTGGTCTCTTTATATAGTCATTAAGTTAATTATGCTTATTAAAGAACCTTCTAATTACCATGGTAACATCTGTCACACCACCTGTGTGTATGTACTTACCTATACGTGGTTGCAGGTGTTGAATCACAGCTCTTGGCCTCGAGATGTGTGTGTGTGTCTGTGTGTTCACCTATACGTGGTTGCAGGTGTTGAATCACAGCTCTTGGCCTCGAGATGTGTGTGTGTGTCTGTGTGTTCACCTATACGTGGTTGCAGGTGTTGAATCACAGCTCTTGGCCTCGAGATACGTGTGTGTGTGTGTGTGTCTGTGTTCACCTATACGTGGTTGCAGGGGTTGAATCACAGCTCTTGGCCTCGAGATGTGTGTGTGTGTGTGTGTGTCTGTGTTCACCTATACGTGGTTGCAGGGGTTGAATCACAGCTCTTGGCCTCGAGATGTGTGTGTGTGTGTGTGTGTGTCTGTGTGTTCACCTATACGTGGGTGCAGAGGTTGAATCACAGCTCTTGGCCTCGAGATGTGTGTGTGTGTGTGTGTCTGTGTTCGCCTATACGTGGTTGCAGGGGTTGAATCACAGCTCTTGGCCTCAAGATGTGTGTGTGTGTGTCTGTGTGTTCACCTATACGTGGTTGCAGGGGTTGAATCACAGCTCTTGGCCTCAAGATATGTGTGTGTGTGTGTCTGTGTTCACCTATACGTGGTTGCAGAGGTTGAATCACAGCTCTTGGCCTCGAGATGTGTGTGTGTGTGTTCACCTATACGTGGTTGCTGGGGTTGAATCACAGCTCCTGGCCCTGAGATGTGTGTATGTAGAGTACATTAATCCGTTATTGTGAAGATAACAAGATAAGATGTATGGTTCAAGGTGTGGGTTAAGTTGTAGCTCTTGTACCCCAGATAACAGTTGTTTGGCAAGATGTTTACTTTCTCTGAGGGAGGTATTTTACTCTTTATAATGTGAAGATTCATGGTATAACTGAACATTGGTACACTCTTCTTCTTCTTCTAATAATAATAATAATAATAATAATAATAATAATAATAATAATAATAATAATAATAATAATAATAATAATCTAACTTCACGATGGTTCAAGAGAGTCTTGATACTAGTGAAGGCTTCTTGATCCGAGGAAGTAGAGCCACTGGATCAACCCCATCTCCTTGGATCAAGAGCTCTTTACCTAAACCCCACACATAATAACCTTGCTTAATCTCACAAGTAAAAAACTCTTACTGCGCGACTGTCGTAAGATTGTATGATAAGGGGGAACCCATTCGGGTTTTGCGCTTCTTGATTATGCGTGATAAAGAGAGTGATGAAAGTGAGAGTTGATGGTGTTACCATAGCAATTGTGCTGGAGGCTCGATCCTCCGTCACTGTTCACCTAGCAGTAAGTAGGTACCTTGGTGTTAGCCACCTTACACCTGCTGTCACTGTTCACCTAGCAGTAATAGGTACCTGGGTGTTAGTCACCTTACACCTGCTGTCGCTGTTCACCTAGCAGTGAGTAGGTACCTGGGTGTTAGGCACCTTACACCTGCTGTCACTGTTCACCTAGCAGTGAGTAGGTACCTGGGTGTTAGTCACCTTACACCTGCTGTCACTGTTCACCTAGCAGTAAGTAGGTACCTGGGTGTTAGGCACCTTACACCTGCTGTCACTGTTCACCTAGCAGTAAGTAGGTACCTGGGTGTTAGCCACCTTACACCTGCTGTCACTGTTCACCTAGCAGTAAGTAGGTACCTGGATGTTAGTCATCTTACACCTGCTGTCACTGTTCACCTAGCAGTAAGTAGGTACCTGGGTGTTAGTCACCTAACACCTGCTGTCACTGTTCACCTAGAAGTAAGTAGGTACCTGGGTGTTAGGCACCTTACACCTGCTGTCACTCTTCACCTAGCAGTAAGTAGGTACCTGGGTGCTAGTCACCTTACACCTGCTGTCACTGTTCACCTAGCAGTAAGTAGGTACCTGGGTGTTAGTCACCTAACACCTGCTGTCACTGTTCACCTAGCAGTAAGTAGGTACCTGGGTGTTAGGCACCTTACACCTGCTGTCACTCTTCACCTAGCAGTAAGTAGGTACCTGGGTGCTAGTCACCTTACACCTGTTGTCCACACGAAAACCCGTAACCTAACCAATACTTAACCTAACCTAACTAATACCTAATACCTAGAATTTGTATTGATAAAGTCACTGGAGGGCGAAACGTCTACAATAAAGACACCCAGATGTTGCACATGTGTCTTAATTTCATCGTGTCGGTATTATATACCATTCTTGTACAACTTTTCTAATTCCCTTTTTTATTTCTCTCTTTAACTGAATATATCGATTTCTTAATTGCACCTCTCCTCTTTTGATATGCCTATATATGCCTCTCTTTTGACCAATTAGATATTTTAATCTATTGTTCATCCATTTAGGATCATTTTTGCTTAATCTGAGTTCCCTATTTGGAACATAAGTTGTCTGGGCAGCTAGCACCTAACCTAACTAATACCTAACTAATACCTAACTAATACCTTCTTTCTTGAACAGACAATGAACATAAAGGTGAACGTATGTCCATAGTGACGGTGAACACTATAGGTAGCAGTAACTACCAGAGTATTAAAGGAAGTAGCCAGTACCATGACTCGAGCAGTACCTCGCTGGTCTCCACCAGAACCTACTTATCCAGGTTCTGGATACTGTTTATCTTCTCTCTCGTATGCTGGTTTCATGTAAGTGATAGTAGTAGTAGCAGTAGTAGTAATAGTAGTAGCTGTGATGGTAGTAGTAACAGCAGTAGTAGCAGTTGTGATGGTAGTAGTAACAGTAGTGGTAGTAGTTGTGATGGTTAGTAGTAACAGTAGTGGTATATTGTGATGGTAGTAGTAACAGTAGTGGTAGTAGTTGTGATGGTAGTAGTAACAGTAGTAGTAGCAGTTGTGATGGTAGTAGTAACAGTAGTGGTAGTAGTTGTGATGTTAGTAGTAACAGTAGTGGTAGTAGTAACAGTAGTGGTAATATTTGTGATGGTAGTAGTAACAGCAGTGGTAGTAGTTGTGATGGTAGTAGTAACAGCAGTGGTAGTAGTTGTGATGGTAGTAGTAACAGTAGTAGTAGCAGTTGTGATGGTAGTAGTAACAGTAGTGGTAGTAGTTGTGATGGTAGTAGTAACAGTAGTGGTAGTAGTTGTGATGGTAGTAGTAACAGTAGTGGTAGTAGTTGTGATGGTAGTAGTAACAGTAGTGGCAGTAGTTGTGATGGTAGTAGTAACAGCAGTGGAAGTAGTTGTGATGGTAGTAGTAACAGCAGTGGTAGTAGTTGTGATGGTAGTAGTAACAGCAGTGGTAGTAGTTGTGATGGTAGTAGTAACAGTAGTAGTAGCAGTTGTGATGGTAGTAGTAACAGTAGTGGTAGTAGTTGTGATGGTAGTAGTAACAGTAGTGGTAGTAGTTGTGATGGTAGTAGTAACAGTAGTGGTAGTAGTTGTGATGGTAGTAGTAACAGTAGTGGTAGTAGTTGTGATGGTAGTAGTAACAGTAGTGGCAGTAGTTGTGATGGTATATAACACAGTGGTAGTAGTTGTGATGGTAGTAGTAACAGCAGTGGTAGTAGTTGTGATGGTAGTAGTAACAGCAGTGGTAGTAGTTGGATGGTATAGTAACAGTAAGTAGTAGCAGTTGTGATGGTAGTAGTAACAGTAGTGGTAGTAGTTGTGATGGTAGTAGTAACAGTAGTGGTAGTAGTTGTGATGGTAGTAGTAACAGTAGTGGTAGTAGTTGTGATGGTAGTAGTAACAGTAGTCGTAGTAGTAACAGTAGTGGTAGTAGTTGTGATGGTAGTAGTAACAGTAGTGGTAGTAGTTGTGATGGTAGTAGTAACAGTAGTGGTAGTTGTTGTGATGGTAGTAGTAACAGTAGTGGTAGTAGTTGTGATGGTAGTAGTAAACAGTAGTGTAGTAGTTGTAATGGTTAGTAGTAACAGTAGTAGTAGCAGTTTGTGATGTATGTATAGTAACAGTAGTGGTAGTATTGTGATGGTAGTAGTAACAGTAGTGGTAGTAGTAACAGTAATGTTAGTAGTTGTGATGGTAGTAGTAACAGTAGTGGTAGTAGTAACAGTAGTGGTAGTAGTTGTGATGGTAGTAGTATCAGTAGTGGTAGTAGTTGTGATGGTAGTAGTAACAGTAGTGGTAGTAGTTGTGATGGTAGTAGTAACAGTAGTGGCAGTAGTTGTGATGGTAGTAGTAACAGTAGTGGTAGTAGTTGTGATGGTAGTAGTAACAGTAGTGGTAGTAGTTGTGATGGTAATAGTAACAGTAGTGGTAGTAGTTGTGATGGTAGTAGTAACAGTAGTGGTAGTAGTTGTGATGGTAATAGTAACAGTAGTGGTAGTAGTTGTGATGGTAGTAATAACAGTAGTGTAGTAGTTGTGATGGTAAGTAGTAACAGTAGTGCAGTAGTTTGATATGGTAGTAGTAACAGTAGTGGCAGTAGTTGTGATGGTAGTAGTAACAGTAGTGGTAGTAGTTGTGATGGTAATAGTAACAGTAGTGTAGTAGTTGTGAGGTAGTATAACAGCAGTAGTAGCAGTTGTGATGGTAGTAGTAACAGTAGTGGTAGTAGTTGTGATGGTAGTGTAACAGTAGTGGTAGTAGTTTGTGATGGTAGTAGTAACATAGTAGTAGCATTGTGATGGTAGTAATAACATAGTGGTAGTAGTTGTGATGGTAGTAGTAACAGTATTGTAGTAGTTGTGATGTAATAGTAACAGTAGTGTAGTAGTTGTGATGGTAGTAGTAACAGTAGTGGTAGTAGTTGTGATGGTAGTAGTAACAGTAGTGGCAGTAGTTGTGATGGTAGTAGTAACAGTAGTGGCAGTAGTTGTGATGGTAGTAGTAACAGTAGTGGCAGTAGTTGTGATGGTAGTAGTAACAGTAGTGGCAGTAGTTGTGATGGTAGTAGTAACAGTAGTGGTAGTAGTTGTGATGGTAGTAGTAACAGTAGTGGCAGTAGTTGTGATGGTAGTAGTTAACAGTAGTGGTAGTAGTTTGATGGTAATAGTAACAGTAGTGGTAGTAGTTGTGATGGTAGTAGTAACAGCAGTAGTAGCAGTTGTGATGGTAGTAGTTGTGATGGTAGTAGTAACAGTAGTGGTAGTAGTAACAGTAGTGGTAGTAGTTGTGATGGTAGTAGTACAGTAGTGGTAGTAGTTGTGATGTAGTAGTAACAGTAGTGGTAGTAGTTGTGATGGTAGTAGTAACAGTAGTGGTAGTAGTTTTGTGATGGTAGTAGTAACAGTAGTGGTAGTAAATTGTTGATGGTAGTAGTAGCAGTAGTGGTAGTAGTTGTGATGGTAGTAGTAACAGTAGTGGTAGTAGTTGTGATGGTAGTAGTAACAGCAGTAGTAGCAGTTGTGATGGTAGTAGTAACAGTAGTGGTAGTATTGTGATGGTAGTAGTAACAGTAGTGTAGTAGTTTTTGATGGTAGTAGTAACAGTAGTGGTAGTAGTTGTGATGGTAGTAGTAACAGTAGTGGTAGTAGTTGTGATGGAAAGTAGTAACAGTAGTGGTAGTAGTTGTGATGGTAGTAGTAACAGTAGTGGTAGTAGTTGTGATGGTAGTAGTAACAGTAGTGGTAGTAGTTGTGATGGTAGTAGTAACAGTAGTGGTAGTAGTAACAGTAGTGGTAGTAGTTGTATGGTAGTAGTAAACAGTAGTGGTAGTAGTTGTGATGGTAGTAGTAACAGTAGTGGTAGTAGTTGTGATGGTAGTAGTAACAGTAGTGGTAGTAGTTGTGATGGTAGTAGTAACAGTAGTGGTAGTAGTTGTGATGGTAGTAGTAACAGTATGGCAGAGTTGTGATGGTAGTAGTAACAGTAGTGGTAGTAGTTGTGATGGTAGTAGTAACAGTAGTGGTAGTAGTAACAGTAGTGGTAGTAGTTGTGATGGTAGTAGTAACAGTAGTGGTAGTAGTAACAGTAGTGGTAGTAGTTGTGATGGTAGTAGTAACAGTAGTGGTAGTAGTAACAGTAGTGGTAGTAGTTGTGATGGTAGTAGTAATAAGAAGGTTGGTAGGTGAGACACAGAGGCAACTTTATTCCGAAACGTTTCGCCTACACAAAAGGCGTCTTCAGTCGAGTACAGAAAGTAGGCGCAGTAGAGATGTGAAGACGATGTAATCAGTCCATAACCCTTGAAGTCGTAGATTTGAGGTTGTCAGTCCCTCAGCCTGGAGAAGTTCTGTTTCAAAGTCTGAAACACGAAGAACAAGCTTAGGTCAGGTCAGGTTTGCCAGGAAACAGGACAAGTGTTTCCTGACGCTGGTCTTAGATGATGACCCGCCGTTGGAGCTTTTGGTCATTTGACCGAGGCCTTCCGCTGGCTTACCGGTTCACCATTTTACTCAGGTGAAGAACCAGCGACAGTGTGGAGACTTATATACTGTCTGAAGAAGAGGTGTAGAGTAGTAAAAGATTGTAATCACTGAGAGTGCACGTCCCTCTCAGTGATTACATTCTCCTGTTGCTGCAAGATTCTCCTTTGTGTGGACTGATGAAGCCACTGTGTGGCGAAACGTTTCCTTAATAAAGATACCCAAGAGTTGCACATGCGTCTAATTTATCAACATGTCGGTTCTGTGAACCATTTATCTACAATCCAACCATTCTAGATGGTTGGATCTGAGAGGGACGTGACCTCTCAGTGATTACATCCTCTCTACTACCCCTCTCTCTCCAGGTAACTACTCTACACCTCTCCTTCAGACAGTATATAAGTCTCCACACTGTCGCTGGTTTTTCACATGACTAAAATGGTTTTAACTATGACCATAATTTTTAAAGGGATGGACCGGTAAGCCAGCGGAAGGCCTTGATCAGATGACCAAAAGCTCCAACGGCGGGTCATCATCTGACTAAGACCAGCGTCAGGAAGCACTTGTCCTGTTTCCTGGCAAACCTGACCTAACCTAAGCTTGTTCTTCACAGTGTTTCAGACTATGGAATAGAACTCTTCTCCAGGCTGAGGGACTGACCACCTCAATGTCTGCAAGGGTGATGGACTGATTACATCGTCTTCACGTCTCTATTGCTCCTGCCTACGCTCTGTACTCGACTGAAGAAACCTACTGTGTAGGAGAAACATTTCGGAATAAAGGTTTCTAAATATGCTTCACAATTCCTCAACAATATTAATTAATATTATCTCTTCAGGGCGTGCAGTGGAACACTTGGGGTCCCATTGCTGAGAGTATGGAGGCAGCGTTCCCTGGTTGGGGGCCCTCAACTGTGGCCATGATGGCCAACTGGGGCACTATAATGTTCGTGGTGTTTGTGCTCCCCGTGTGCTGGGCCATCCAGAGGTGTGGCCTGAGAGCTGGTGTGGTCAGTAGTGCTGCCCTCATCTTCCTGGGCACTGCCCTAAGATGTATAACTAGTACCCCTCCTGTGTTTACTGTGTGAGTATACTGTCCTGGTCTTCCTGGGTACTGCCCTAAGGTGTATAACTAGTATCCCTCCTGTCTTTACTGTGTGAGAATACCACCCTGAGGTGGTCAGTCCCTCAGTCTTGTAGTAATAGTTATAGGGTGGTCAGTCCCTCAGCCTGGACCAGTGTTCAACTTAAGCTTCACATAATTCAAGACTATGAAATTGATCACATCTCCAGACTGAGGGACTGACCCCCTAAAGCTGCTACCTCAAGATTGAGGGACTAACCTCCTCATCTTAACCTCTCTCCTGCTTCTGTTGTTTCCATATTTACCACCTCTGTATTCCACTGATGAATATTAGGTAAAAGGACACAAGTGCAACTCATATGACATTTTATTGTGGCAACGTTTCGCTCTCCAGGAGCTTTATCAAGCCATTAATTCTACCAACATTATTACAATCCACTGATGAAGCCTACTGTACGGGCGAAACGTTTCGTAATAAAGATACATAACTGTTTCACATCTTAGTTACAATACCACAATACTGCATTGCTATATTATGCCTCTACAATACTACAATAATGTATAATTGTACAACTGACCTACAATTCCATTTCCAGTATGTGTCATATATGTGCTATCCTCATGGGAATATCCAGTACGCTGATCTTGGCCGCCCCTGTACTTATAGCTTCAGATTGGTTCCCACTCCAGGAGCGAACCACAGCAGTGGGTAAGGCGTTCTAACCCACCCATTATTATAATTTTAATAATTTAAATGTAGAGTTGCTCAGCTTTCTCGACACCATAGGCCACTTCAGGACTAAATTTATATTTATGTATGCAAAACAACCACGGGGGGAGTTGAGTGATAGCTCTAGGCCTTTCGTGTTGTAATTAATGTATCATCAGGAGCTTGCAATGTTGGAGAATAGAAGAGGAGGTTCAGACAAATACGATCACAAGGAACGCCTTTGCAAAGTCCTTCCATGTCACGGTATTGCGCATTTTTTTTTATTTTATGCCTAAAATAGTAATTAATGTAAACTACCAGTGTATATACTATGATCGATATGTATCTCTGGGTGTATTATTATTAAAGATTAAAGATTAGCCGGTATTCTGGCGGCCCGGGCCTTTTCCAAGTGGTGGCCCGGCCTTGTCTCCCTCTCTAGGGAGTGTCTGAGACCTAAGTCTCCCATGGGAGGAGGCACAAGTACCTCCTCATCTTTGGGACCAACTGTCCCCAGGCCTAGCCACAAGCTAGGCCTCTCTGGTCTGCCATCCCCGCCCCAAGGGGCTAATGGGAATGACAGTCTTATGAGCTAAAGGCTCGAGCTCAGGCACCTACCCTACCCTAGAAGGGTTAGGCATGGTATCGATGTCTGGGTGTATATACACTGTGCGGTATATACCTATTTGTGTGCGCGCATCGAGATATACACCTTTGGGTGTATACTCTACGAGAGATATACACCCTTCAATGTATATACACTGCTACACATCAGTTCATATACACTGAGACATTTCCACACGCTCATATACACTGAAATATACCGATCCACCCTTGTATATGCATATATAAACCTCTCGGTGTATATACATTAAGAAATACCCGCATCTCAGCACACATACTTTCCGAAACAATGCTATTGACATTTTTCGTTACTTATTTACGAATATGCATTATATACATCCATATATATAGCTGTGATGATGGGTGCCAGCCAGCTGGGACTATTAGGCAGCTACCTGGAACCTCTACTAGTACGTCTACCTTCACCACAAGTTAATATTGACGATACACGAAGGGATGTCACGCACCTCCTCTATTTAGGTAAAGTGTCACAAATAATTGAGTTACCCATTAAATTAAAATGAAAATAAGAAAATTAATAATAATAATAATAATAATAATAATAAGAGTAATATAATAATAACAATAATTGTTTTATTTATTTCTGCTTTATTCTAACAGGAGCTGGTTTAGCTGGTTTATTGCTACTGGCAGTATTAATATACTTTCCCTCTAAACCACCCACTCCACCATCTGTCGTGTCGTCTACTGACCGTCTCGACTTTATCCCTGGTTTGCTGTCTATTATCAAGTAAGTTATTGTATTACATTCTAGGGGAGACATAATTACGATGTAGAAGATACTCAGAGTATCTGATAGGACATGGATTGCTTGAATATAGTTGTTAAATTACAACCATAGGGGAGACATAATTACGACATACAAAATATTGAGAGGATTTGATGAGGGATATAACTGTGACTTTACACCCCTCGGGGAGACATAATTACGACTTAGAAGATACTCAGAGGATTTGATAAGGGATAGATTTCTTGAAGTAAGATGATCAAGGGGACACAGGTAGACACTGGAGATAGATAATACATAGGGATGTTAGGACGTATTTTTAGTCTCAGGATGGCTGAAGAAAGACTTGGATGAGGCAAATTCAATACACAGCTTCAAGAGTAGATATCAAGTTCATGAGGTCAGAGGTCAGTGATTGCTGAACACGGTAATCTAGGAGGTGGGGCCAAGAGCTGTGAATCGACCTCTGCAACAGTAAATAGGTGAGTACACACACAAACGAGGTTAGGAGGGAGTTAATCTGTATACACTCACAGTGTTGTATATCATACACTCACAATGTTGTATATCATACACTCACAGTGTTGTATATCATACACTCACAGTGTTGTATATCATACACTCACAATGTTGTATATCATACACTCACAGTGTTGTATATCATACACTCACAGTGTTGTATATCATACACTCACAGTGTTGTATATCATACACTCACAGTGTTGTATATCATACACTCACAATGTTGTATATCATACACTCACAGTGTTGTATATCATACACTCACAATGTTGTATATCATACACTCACAGTGTTGTATATCATACACTCACAGTGTTGTATATCATACACTCACAGTGTTGTATATCATACACTCACAGTGTTGTATATCATACACTCACAGTGTTGTATATCATACACTCACAGTGTTGTATATCATACACTCACAGTGTTGTATATCATACACTCACAGTGTTGTATATCATACACTCACAGTGTTGTATATCATACACTCACAGTGTTGTATATCATACACTCACAGTGTTGTATATCATACACTCACAGTGTTGTATATCATACACTCACAGTGTTGTATATCATACACTCACAGTGTTGTATATCATACACTCACAGTGTTGTATATCATACACTCACAGTGTTGTATATCATACACTCACAGTGTTGTATATCATACACTCACAGTGTTGTATATCATACACTCACAATGTTGTATATCATACACTCACAGTGTTGTATATCATACACTCACAGTGTTGTATATCATACACTCACAGTGTTGTATATCATACACTCACAGTGTTGTATATCATACACTCACAGTGTTGTATATCATACACTCACAGTGTTGTATATCATACACTCACAGTGTTGTATATCATACACTCACAGTGTTGTATATCATACACTCACAGTGTTGTATATCATACACTCACAGTGTTGTATATCATACACTCACAGTGTTGTATATCATACACTCACAATGTTGTATATCATACACTCACAATGTTGTATATCATACACTCAGTGTTGTATATCATACACTCAGTGTTGTATATCATACACTCACAATGTTGTATATCATACACTCACAATGTTGTATATCATACACTCAGTGTTGTATATCATACACTCACAATGTTGTATATCATACACTCAGTGTTGTATATCATACACTCACAATGTTGTATATCATACACTCAGTGTTGTATATCATACACTCAGTGTTGTATATCATACACTCACAATGTTGTATATCATACACTCAGTGTTGTATATCATACACTCACAATGTTGTATATCATACACTCACAATGTTGTATATCATACACTCACAATGTTGTATATCATACACTCACAATATTGTATATCATACACTCACAATGTTGTATATCATACACTCAGTGTTGTATATCATACACTCACAATGTTGTATATCATACACTCACAGTGTTGTATATCATACACTCACAATGTTGTATATCATACACTCACAATGTTGTATATCATACACTCAGTGTTGTATATCATACACTCAGTGTTGTATATCATACACTCACAATGTTGTATATCATACACTCACAGTGTTGTATATCATACACTCAGTGTTGTATATCATACACTCACAGTGTTGTATATCATACACTCACAATGTTTGTATATCATACACTCACAGTGTTGTATATCATACACTCACAATGTTGTATATCATACACTCACAGTGTTGTATATCATACACTCACAATGTTGTATATCATACACTCACAATGTTGTATATCACACACTCAGTGTTGTATATCATACACTCAGTGTTGTATATCATACACTCACAATGTTGTATATCATACACTCACAGTGTTGTATATCATACACTCAGTGTTGTATATCATACACTCACAGTGTTGTATATCATACACTCACAATGTTGTATATCATACACTCACAGTGTTGTATATCATACACTCACAATGTTGTATATCATACACTCACAGTGTTGTATATCATACACTCAGTGTTGTATATCATACACTCACAATGTTGTATATCATACACTCACAATGTTGTATATATCATACACTCAGTGTTGTATATCATACACTCAGTGTTGTATATCATACACTCACAATGTTGTATATCATACACTCACAATGTTGTATATCATACACTCAGTGTTGTATATCATACACTCACAATGTTGTATATCATACACTCACAATGTTGTATATCATACACTCAGTGTTGTATATCATACACTCACAATGTTGTATATCATACACTCACAATGTTGTATATCATACACTCAGTGTTGTATATCATACACTCACAATGTTGTATATCATACACTCACAGTGTTGTATATCATACACTCACAATATTGTATATCATACACTCACAATGTTGTATATCATACACTCAGTGTTGTATATCATACACTCACAATGTTGTATATCATACACTCACAGTGTTGTATATCATACACTCACAATATTGTATATCATACACTCACAGTGTTGTATATCATACACTCACAATGTTGTATATCATACACTCACAGTGTTGTATATCATACACTCACAATGTTGTATATCATACACTCAGTGTTGTATATCATACACTCAGTGTTGTATATCATACACTCACAATATTGTATATCATACACTCACAATGTTGTATATCATACACTCACAATGTTGTATATCATACACTCACAGTGTTGTATATCATACACTCAGTGTTGTATATCATACACTCACAGTGTTGTATATCATACACTCACAATATTGTATATCATACACTCACAGTGTTGTATATCATACACTCACAATGTTTTTAAAATCATACACTCACAATGTGTATATCATACACTCACAGTGTTGTATATCATACACTCACAATGTTGTATATCATACACTCACAATGTTGTATATCATACACTCACAGTGTTGTATATCATACACTCACAATGTTGTATATCATACACTCAGTGTTGTATATCATACACTCAGTGTTGTATATCATACACTCACAATGTTGTATATCATACACTCACAATGTTGTATATCATACACTCAGTGTTGTATATCATACACTCACAATGTTGTATATCATACACTCACAATGTTGTATATCATACACTCACAGTGTTGTATATCATACACTCACAATGTTGTATATCATACACTCAGTGTTGTATATCATACACTCAGTGTTGTATATCATACACTCACAGTGTTGTATATCATACACTCACAATGTTGTATATCATACACTCACAGTGTTGTATATCATACACTCACAATGTTGTATATCATACACTCACAGTGTTGTATATCATACACTCACAATGTTGTATATCATACACTCAGTGTTGTATATCATACACTCAGTGTTGTATATCATACACTCACAGTGTTGTATATCATACACTCACAATGTTGTATATCATACACTCACAGTGTTGTATATCATACACTCACAATGTTGTATATCATACACTCAGTGTTGTATATCATACACTCAGTGTTTTATATCATACACTCACAGTGTTGTATATCATACACTCACATGTTGATATCATACACTCACAGTGTTGTATATCATACACTCACAGTGTTGTATATCATACACTCAGTGTTGTATATCATACACTCACAGTGTTGTATATCATACACTCACAATATTGTATATCATACACTCACAGTGTTGTATATCATACACTCACAATGTTGTATATCCACAGGAACAAGCAGTTCATAATATTGCTGGTAGCATATGGAGTAAGTGTTGGTCCACCAGTAGCCTGGATGACGGTCCTGGATTACTCTCTCCTGCCTCTGGAATTCCACCAGGTCAGTTGTGTACCCCCACCTCGTTATCCTCACACACATGTGGTGCTAAACCCTTAAGGATTAAGGATTTCATTTCTTTGCAAAGGTTCAATGTATAATTATATTGTTGGCATGCTAAGTACAACGGAAGTCACTCTCATGTCGGGCCATTTCGGGCATAGGGGCTATGTTGTGACCGTCTCAGGTCAGGTCAGACGTGTGTCAAGACATTGTACTCTAGTGTGCTAGGCGTAAAGCCTATAGACTGTACTGTGCTAGGCGTAAAGCCTATAGACTGTACTGTGCTAGGCGTAAAGCCTATAGACTGCACTCTGCTAGGCGTAAAGCCTATAGACCGCACTCTGCTAGGCGTAAAGCCTATAGACCGCACTCTGCTAGGCGTAAAACCTATAGACCGCACTCTGCTAGGCGTAAAGCCTGTAAGACTATACTGTACTCTGTTAGGTATAAAGCATATTGACTGTACTGTATTAAGTGTAAAACCTGTTGGGTGGAAAGCCTATAGACTACTGTATTAGGTGGAAAGCCTATAGACTACTGTATTAGTTGGAAAGCCTATGGACTACTCTTATTAGTCTACAGGCAACACTTAGACTACTGCATTAGGTGGAAAGCCTATAGACTACTATATTAGTTGGAAAGCCTATAGACTACTGTATTAGTTGGAAAGCCTATGGACTACTGTATTAGTTGGAAAGCCTATAGACTACTGTATTAGTTGGAAAGCCTATAGACTACTGTATTAGTTGGAAAGCCTATAGACTATTGTATTAGTTGGAAAGCCTATAGACTACTGCATTAGGTGGAAAGCCTATAGACTACTGTATTAGTTGGAAAGCCTATAGACTACTGTATTAGTTGGAAAGCCTATGGACTACTCTTATTAGTCTACAGGCAACACTTCACTATGGATAGTAGCATTACCCAGACCATCCTCCTCCTCAACTAACCATCCTATCCTTCCTGCAGGACCAGGCTATGGGGATAGGCATCAGCACGGTGATAGTATCCAGCCTATCACCAGTGATAGCAGGAAGGATCAATGACCTTATCCAGGGACACTTGAGAACCATAACATTTATCCTCATGTTATCCACTTCTCTCTTCTTCTACTGGTTCCTCCTCATTTCTTATCGAGTTCTTACGCCTTCGACGTGTGAGTAGCTTTTTTTTTTGTACCTTTTTTTAAGTTTTGAGAGATTCTATGTAATTATTTTTTATTTGCTTTAGATTTTTTAAAATTGTTTAGCGATATGTTTGTTGATTTTAATTTGAATTTATTTAGTTGAATTTATAATTCGTTTGTAGTTGAATTATGCCTATAATAACTAGTGAAAAGTATATAATGATACTAATAATGATTATAATTATAACAGCAATAATAATAATAATAATAATAATAATAATAATAATAATAATAATAATAATAATAATAATAATAATAATAATAATAATAATAATGGTGTGCAGGGCAGGTATACTTCTCGGTGATAGGTTCTGTGTCTTGTAACTTTGCTACCATTCCGCTGTTGTTCGAGGTAGGCCTAGACCTGGCCTACCCTGTGCAGGAAATCTTGGTCTCTGGCGTCATCGTTCTCATGGACAACATAACCTGCGTTATCTTCTTGCTGGCTTTCTTCATCCCCAATGTTGGTAAGTGGGAAGCAATGTAAGGAAGTTTAGAGATGTAGGGGAGCACTGATGTAGGCCTACTGGCCCGTGCTAGGCAGGTTCTTCTCAAACCTATAACACTAACAGAAATGTTACTCAAGGAATTAGTTTTGGTAGCACTATTACTCAAGTGTAAGTCCCACTTAAATCCAACCCTAATAGGGTTATTGAATTTAAAACCAATATCTCAACCTCCCCCCCCCCTTTTAATGTGCAGGCATTGTATTTCCTACATTCAGGACTCAAGTCCGGCTAACTGGTTTCCCTGAACGTTACCCTGCTCACATTCCAACAGCTCGTCAAGTCCCAAAATCTTTTCGTCTCCATTCACTCCTAACATGCTCACACGCCTGCTGTAAGTCCAAGCCCTCACACACAAAACCTCCTTTACCCCCTCCTTCCAACCTTTCCTAGGACGACCCCTACCCCGCCTTCCTTCCCCTACAGATTTATACGCTCTCCAAGTCATTCTACTTTGATCCATTCTCTCTAAATGACCAAACCACCTCAACAACCCCTCTTCTGCCCTCTGACTAATGCTTTTATTAACTCCACACCTTCTCCTAATTTCCACACGCCGAATTTTCTGCATAATATTTACACCACACATTGCCCTTAGACAGGACATCTCCACTGCCTCCAACCGTCTCCTCGCTGCTGCATTTACAACCCAAGCTTCACACCCATATAAGAGTGTTGGTACTACTATACTTTCATACATTCCCTTCTTTGCCTTCCATGGATAATGTTCTTTGTCTCCGCAGATACCTCACTGCACTACTCACCCCTTTTCCTTCATCATTTCTATGATTACTCTCATCCTTCATAAACCCATCCACTGACACGTCAACTCCCAAATATCTGAACACATTCACTTCTCCACACTCCCTCCACTGTGATATCCATTTTTTCTTTATCTTAATCATTTGATACTCTTATCACCTTACTCTTATCTATGTTCACTTTCAACTTTCTACCTGTACACACATTCCCAAACTCGTCCACTAACCTTTGCAATTTCTCTTCAGAATCTCCCAAAAGCACAGAATCATCAGCAAAAAGTAACTGTGTCAATTATATATGAATTTATTTATGAATTTTCCCAGGTTGTTATTAAATATTAATGTATATTGTTACAGGGTATCTGTGGATGACATATACACTGGTGTTGTGTACGTCACTGGCCATGATGCCACTCATATTTGTTAAGTTCGAATATACCAGGCTCAACATTGACACCTCCAAAAATTAAGATCAGCTGAGTGTAGGCCTACTGTCACCTCTGCCCTGGTGTACACTTGAAGAATTACTGGCCCATCTGAGTGTAGGCCTACTGTTACCTTTGCCCTGGTGTACACTTGAAGAATTACTGGCCCATCTGAGTGTAGGCCTACTGTCACCTCTGCCCTGGTGTACACTTGAAGAATTACTGGCTCATCTGAGTGTAGGCCTACTGTCACCTTGCCCTGGTGTACACTTGAAGAATTACTGGCCCATCTGAGTGTAGGCCCCACTGTACCCTGCCCTGTGTACACTTGAAGAATTACTGGCCCATCTGAGTGTAGGCCTACTGTCACCTCTGCCCTGGTTGCCCCTTGAAAGAATAAAATGCCCATTCTAGTTTTAGCCTATTCACCTATTCTTTTACAAAAATAAGAATACTGGGTCACGATTAAGCTACCCCCGATTAACCCCCCCTTTGGATCAAAATAAAATACATGGCCCTCCTAGGTGGTTTCCCTCCCTTTTAATTAAAAATTACGGTATTTGATTTATTTTTGGAAATTTTTCCCCGTTGTAAATGAAGAATTTTTGGTATTGAGTGTAAAAAGTATGTGGTTAATAAAAATTATGTATTGAGTTTATAAATGTTTTTTAATGTGTATTGTTATGGGAAAGTATAAAGAGAATGTCTAGATTTAGGGTTTTTAAATTTTAAAATTATACAATTTAAAAAAGTCAAAGTTTTTAAAAGTTTATAAAATTTGAAAATTTAAATTAATTTTTTGGATAAATATTAAAATTGAAGTTTTTTAAATTAGGTGTTTTAAACCCTTTTTAAAAATTGATTTTAAAATATTTTGATTATTTTTGGATTTTAAATGTTTATAATGTATATAGATATTTATGATGTAAAATGAAGTTTATAAATGTTATAGATGTATATAATATTTTTTAGATGTATATAGATATTTATAGATGTATATGGATGTTTATAAATGTTTATAAATGTATATAGATATTTATAGATGTATATGGATGTTTATAAATGTTTATAAATGTATATAGATATTTATAGATGTATATGGATGTTTAAAAAATGTTTATAGAAATGTATTTTTAGAATATTTATAGATGTATAAGGATGTTTATAAATGTTTATAAATGTATATAGATATTTGTAAATGTATATGGATGTTTATAAACGTTTATAGATGTATATAGATATTTATAGATGTATATGGATGTTTATAAATGTTTATAAATGTATAAGATATTATATGTAATAGTATTTAGATGTATATGGATGTTTATAAATGTTTATAAATGTATATAGATATTTATAAATGTATATAGATATTTATAGATGTATATGGATGTTTATAAATGTTTATAAAAGAATAGATATTTAAATGTATATAGATATTTATAGATGTATATGGATGTTTATAAATGTTTATAAATGTATATAGATATTTGTAAATGTATATGGATGTTTATAAACATTTATATATGTATACAGATATTTATAGATGTATATGAATGTTTATAAATGTTTATAGATGTATAGAGTATTAATAAATATATATAGATGTTTATATATTGTTAAAGATGTATATGGATGTTTAAAAATATAAATGTTTATGGATGAATGCAGATGTTTATAGCTGCTAACAGATGTTTATAGTTGTATATGTTTATATATGTTTATGAATGTTTATAAATATAAACATGTTTATAAATGTTTATATATGCATACAGATGTTTATGGATGTTTATAAATGCTTATAAATGTTCATAGATGTTTATAAATGTTTATTAATGTATGCAGATGTTTATAAATATTTATTATTAACGACTAAAATAAATCAATGTTTATAAATTATTTGTCCAATAATTATTATTAGTTAAATTATGATTTTTTAATAATAATTATATTAATATTAATTGTTTTATTAGAGAATTAATTGTAATAATAATAATAATAATAATAATAATAATAATAATAATAATAATAATAATAATAATAATAATAATAATTATAATAATAATAATAATAATAATAATAATAATAATAATAATAATAATAACAATAATATAATAATAATAATAACAATAATAATAATAACAACAATAATAATAATAATAATAATAATAATAATAATAATAATAATAATAATAATAATAACAATAATAATAATAATAATAATAATAACAATAATAATAATAATAATAATAATAATAATAATAATAATAATAATAATAAATAACAATAATAACAATAATAATAATAATAATAATAATAATAATAATAATAATAATAATAATAACAATAACAATAATAATAATAATAATAATAATAATAATAATAATAATAATCTTAAGAACATAAGACCGGAGGAACACTGCAGTAGGCCTACTGGCCCATACTACGCAAGTTCATCTCAAAACCACCCATGTATTTGTCCAGACTTGTCCCTAGGCCTCCCTAGTACACACTAGTGCACTAGTAGTGAGAACTAGTACACTAGTAGTGAGAACTAGTGCACTAGTAGTGAGAACTAGTGCACTAGTAGTGAGAACTAGTACACTAGTAGTGAGAACTAGTACACACTAGTGCACTAGTAGTGAGAACTAGTACACACTAGTGCACTAGTAGTGAGAACTAGTACACACTAGTGCACTAGTAGTGAGAACTAGTGCACTAGTAGTGAGAACTAGTACACACTAGTGCACTAGTAGTGAGAACTAGTGCACTAGTAGTGAGAACTAGTACACACTAGTGCACTAGTAGTGAGAACTAGTGCACTAGTAGTGAGAACTAGTACACACTAGTGCACTAGTAGTGAGAACTAGTACACACTAGTGCACTAGTAGTGAGAACTAGTGCACTAGTAGTGAGAACTAGTACACACTAGTGCACTAGTAGTGAGAACTAGTACACACTAGTGCACTAGTAGTGAGAACTAGTGCACTAGTAGTGAGAACTAGTACACACTAGTGCACTAGTAGTGAGAACTAGTGCACTAGTAGTGAGAACTAGTACACACTAGTGCACTAGTAGTGAGAACTAGTACACACTAGTGCACTAGTAGTGAGAACTAGTGCACTAGTAGTGAGAACTAGTACACACTAGTGCACTAGTAGTGAGAACTAGTACACACTAGTGCACTAGTAGTGAGAACTAGTGCACTAGTAGTGAGAACTAGTACACACTAGTGCACTAGTAGTGAGAACTAGTACACACTAGTGCACTAGTTGTGAGAACTAGTACACACTAGTGCACTAGTAGTGAGAACTAGTGCACTAGTAGTGGGAACTAGTACACACTAGTGCACTAGTAGTCAGAACTAGTACACACTAGTGCACTAGTAGTGAGAACTAGTACACACTAGTGCACTAGTACTGAGAACTAGCACACACTAGTGCACTAGTAGTGAGAACTAATACACACTAGTGCACTAGTAGTGAGAACTAATACACACTAGTGCACTAGTGTGATGTAGTCCAGCTGGGCTTGTGAGGTCTCTGGGGAGACCTAATTTAACCAATTATATGGTCACACCTTGCCTTGGCAAACGTCTGTAGCCACGCCCACGTCTGAGGTCTTTTGTTCTTGACGCCTCAGACCTAGGCGTCAGGTCGTACACGTGGTTGTGGAGGGTGCTTGGACCACCATAAAAGCCCAAGGAAGAGCATGATCAAGAGATTCGAGCGGAGCTGCTGCTGGGGTGCAGAGCTCCTGAGCAGAGATTCGAGCGGAGCTACTGCTGGGGTGCAGAGCTCCTGAGCAGAGAGTCGAGCGGAGCTGCTGCTGGGGTGCAGAGCTCCTGAGCAGAGACTTCGAGCGGAGCTGCTGCTGGGGTGCAGGGCTCGGGAGAAGGCTGCTGAAGTCTCTGGAGGAGACTGTTGGAGGCATTGGGCAGAGTACTGGCTTGGCGCAGTACTCGTGCTGTGTAGGTCTTGGGACCTGTGGCTTAGTTCCTGTGGTGAACTGTCCTCTGTGCTATATTGTAAGTTATATTCATTTTGGTCAAGTTGATTGTATTCCCTGTCTCACTGCTTATGTGTACCACCCCATTTATCTAAACCCCAATAGTGTTCTGTTCCCAAATATATTATTGTACAAAGACTTAATAATAAACTGTGTTTGAGTAGAATAATAATATTCACTGTCCCCGTTATTTGCTATTCCTATTTCTTATTTTATTTCATGTAGTGAGAGGGAGTGTAGTGTGGTGGGTAGAGTAATGAGAGGTGAAGTTGTAGTCACCAGTGACCTTACATTATCTACCTACCTCACTCCTACCACCTCGCCTGTCCCCTACCTACTGACTCCCCCCACTTACCCCCATATTCCCCTAATCATCACCCCCCTACATGACACTAGTAGTGAGAACTAGTACACACTAGTGCACTAGTAGTGAGAACTAGTACACACTAGTGCACTAGTAGTGAGAACTAGTACACACTAGTGCACTAGTAGTGAGAACTAGTACACACTAGTGCACTAGTAGTGAGAACTAGTACACACTAGTGTACTAGTAGTGAGAACTAGTACACACTAGTGCACTAGTAGTGAGAATTAGTCATTAATAAAACATATGTCACATTTGGTAACTTTATTAACGACACTTACCGTCTGCTCAGCAGGCTTCTCCTGTCTGATACAGAGGTGACTAATATGCTGTTTCCAGAGCTTTATAAAGTCATGTTTCACTCTGTGTAGAGCTTTATAAAGTCATGTTTCACTCTACGTAGAGCTTTATCAAGTCATGTTTCACTCTACGTAGAGCTTTATCAAGTCATGTTTCACTCTATGTAGAGCTTTATCAAGTCATGTTTCACTCTACGTAGAGCTTTATCAAGTCATGTTTCACTCTGTGTAGAGCTTTATCAAGCCATGTTTCACTCTACGTAGAGCTTTATCAAGTCATGTTTCACTCTGTGTAGAGCTTTATCAAGCCATGTTTCACTCTACGTAGAGCTTTATCAAGTCATGTTTCACTCTACGTAGAGCTTTATCAAGTCATGTTTCACTCTACGTAGAGCTTTATCAAGTCATGTAGAGCTTTATCAAGTTACGTTGTGCTCTCTACAGAGCATTGGTATGACTTCATACAGCTCTACACAGAAGTAGAGATAATTACTATATTTCTTTGGAAAGTGCTAAACCCACAGGGGCGGTCATAGATTACCTAGGGACATAGGGGGAAGTAACCAGGAGAAGCTCTATTTCCTCATACGTAGAGCTTTAGATGGAGCTTTAGTTAGTGTGAGGGTTAAGGAGTGAGAGTCCTGGACGGACTCTAAGTGCTAGTACATAAGGATGGTACCTACGTCCTGGGTCATCAGGTGATGACGGTACTAATTCCTCAGGTGCTGGAGAAGGTGCTGTAGAGGGAGTAGGTGCTGGAGTAGGTGAGGGAGGTGAGGATGTGGGTAGGGTAGGTACTTGTGTGGGTAGTGGAGAGGGTCGTACACTGGTAGTGGAGTAAGATACTGGAGAAGGAGTGGAGGATGTAGAGGAGATAGGTAGAGGAGAATTAGGTGATGGAGGTGAAGCCAGAGTTAGGTACCGGTACCTCATTGAGGCATCCAATGTGAGACAGGTATCGTTAGGGGACATGGGTCGTAGCTGGCTGCTACGGGAATTAGCATTGCCAGTCTTACTGGTGTTGTTATTACAACTATCAGAGTCCAGATTATCATGTTTCTGTTGCCACTCCAACACAGAGTTGAGTAATTTGATGTATTTGATCGTCAACCTCAAGATTTCGTTCTTAGAAAGTTTTTTATCAGGGGGATGTGTGGGTACGAGACGTCGCAACTCGGCAAATGCCCCACTGACATTCTGCTGCCTCCATCTTTCTCTTGTGTTGGTAAACACCTTCCTGATGGTACGTTGTGGGGCCCCAGACTCTTCACCTGAGCCAGGTTCAACTACCAGTCCTCCTTCACTATCCCCGCCCTCACAGCCGGATCCTGTAACGTAACAAGATGTGGCTTTTGTTACAGTAACTGTTACAGCAAGTCTTCTGTTAAATACAAGGAATGTTAAATATTACAGTGGATGTTACACCATTTACAACCCTCACACCTTGATCCTGTGTCAGTGTGTGATTGTGTGTACTCACCTATTTGTGGTTGCAGGGGTCGAGTCACAGCTCCTGGCCCCGCCTCTTCACTGGCAACTACTGGGTCACTCTCCCTGTGTGTGTGTGTGTGTGTACTCACCTAGTTGTACTCACCTAGTTGAGGTTGCGGGGGTCGAGTCCGAGCTCCTGGCCCCGCCTCTTCACTGATCGCTACTAGGTCACTCTCCCTGAGCCGTGAGCTTTATCGTACCTCTGCTTAAAGCTATGTATGGATCCTGCCTCCACTACATCGCTTCCCAAACTATTCCACTTACTGACTACTCTGTGGCTGAAGAAATACTTCCTAACATCCCTGTGATTCATCTGTGTCTTTAGCTTCCAACTGTGTCCCCTTGTTACTGTGTCCAATCTCTGGAACATCCTGTTTTTGTCCACCTTGTCAATTCCTCTCAGTATTTTGTATGTCGTTATCATGTCCCCCCTATCTCTCCTGTCCTCCAGTGTCGTCAGGTTGATTTCCCTTAAACCTCTCCTCGTAGGACATACCTCTTAGCTCTGGGACTAGTCTTGTTGCAAACCTTTGCACTTTCTCTAGTTCTTTACGTGCTTGGCTAGGTGTGGGTTCCAAACTGGTGCCGCATACTCCAATATGGGCCTAACGTATACGGTGTACAGGGTCCTGAACGATTCCTTATTAAGATGTCGGAATGCTGTTCTGAGGTTTGCTAGGCGCCCATATGCTGCAGCAGTTATTTGGTTGATGTGCGCTTCAGGAGATGTGCCTGGTGTTATACTCACCCCAAGATCTTTTTCCTTGAGTGAGGTTTGTAGTCTCTGACCCCCTAGACTGTACTCCGTTTGCGGCCTTCTTTGCCCTTCCCCAATCTTCATGACTTTGCACTTGGTGGGATTGAACTCCAGGAGCCAATTGCTGGACCAGTTCTGCAGCCTGTCCAGATCCCTTTGTAGTTCTGCCTGGTCTTCGATCGAGTGTATTCTTCTCATCAACTTCACGTCATCTGCAAACAGGGACACCTCAGAGTCTATTCCTTCCGTCATGTCGTTCACAAATACCAGAAACAGCACTGGTCCTAGGACTGACCCCTGCGGGACCCCGCTGGTCACAGGTGCCCACTCTGACACCTCGCCACGTACCATGACTCGCTGCTGTCTTCCTGACAAGTATTCCCTGATCCATTGTAGTGCCTTCCCTGTTATCCCTGCTTGGTCCTCCAGTTTTTGCACCAATCTCTTGTGTGGAACTGTGTCAAACGCCTTCTTGCAGTCCAAGAAAATGCAATCCACCCACCCCTCTCTCTCTTGTCTTACTGCTGTGTGTGTGTGTGTGTGTGTGTGTGTGTGTGTGCCCTCACCTATTTGTGGTTGCAGGGGTCGAGTCATAGCTCCTGGCCCCGCCTCTTCACTAGCCACTACTGGGTCACTCTCCCTGTGTGTGCGTGTGTGTGTGTGTGTGTGTGTGTGTGTGTGTGTGTTTGTGTGTGTGTGTGTGTGTGTGTGTGCCCTCACCTATTTGTGGTTGCAGGGGTCGAGTCATAGCTCCTGGCCCCGCCTCTTCACTAGCAACTACTGGGTCACTCTCCCTGTGTGTGTGGTGTGTGTGTTGTGTGTGTGTGTGTGTGTGTGTGTGTGTGTGTGTGTGTGCCCTCACCTATTTGTGGTTGCAGGGGTCGAGTCATAGCTCCTGTCCCCGCCTCTTCACTAGCCACTACTGGGTCACTCTCCCTGTGTGTGTGTGTGTGTGTGTGTGTGTGTGTGTGTGGTGTGTGTGTGTGTGTGTGTGTGTGTGTGTGCCCTCACCTATTTGTGGTTGCAGGGGTCGAGTCATAGCTCCTGGCCCCGCCTCTTCGCTGGTCGCTACTAGTCTGTGTGTGTACTTACCAATTTGTAGTTGCAGGGGTCGATTCACAACTCCTGGTCCCGGCTCTTCGCTACTAGATCAACTCTCCCTGCTCCAAGACCCTTATTGTACCTCTTCTTAAAGCTATGTATATGTTTGTGAGAGAGATATATTTAGATAGATATATTTAGAGAGATAGATAGATAGATAGATAGATAGACAGATAGATAGATAGACAGAGTACTCACCATGGGATCGTCTCCAGGATAGGTACCTGGGATGGTGAGTAGAAGTGTAGTCACCACTACCACCACTACCACCACCACTACCACCACTACCACCATCTTCCCCGTGGTCGTCGTCAGTAGTAGAGTCGTGGGTGTCGTCAGAGAGGTCGTCAGCCAGGTCCAGGTCGCTACTCTCGCCCCCACAGCCGCCCACACAGCCGCCCACACACCCACACACGCCGCCCGGGGAATTCTCATCTGTCACCTGACCAATTAAAAAATGAAATATAGTTTCGTAGCCTTGATCCGAGGAACCGGAGCTACCATGGGGTCAGACCTCATTACGGTGTGACCCTTACGGGCTTAGTGCTTCCTTGGATTATTAACCCAGGATAACATGTTGGATTAATAAGCCAGGATAAGGCAAGAAAATCAGTGCGTTATCAAGAGCCGTCTCTTATTTCCATTGTCATACTCCAATCTTGTCCCCCAGGATGCCACCCACACCAGTTACCTAACACCCAGGTACCTACTTACTGCTAGCTGAACAGTGACAGCAGGCGTAAGGTAACTAACACCCAGGTACCTACTTACTGCTAAGTAAGCAGTGACAGCAGGTGTAAGGTAACTAACACCCGGGTACCTACTTACTGGGAAGTGAACAGTGACAGCAGGTGTAAGGTAACTAACACCCAGGTACCTACTTACTGCTAAGTAAACAGTGGCAGCAGGTGTAAGGTAACTAACACCCGGGTACCTACTTACTGCTAAGTAAACAGTGGCAGCAGGTGTAAGGTAACTAACACCTTGGTACCTACTTACTGCTAGGTGAACAGGGACAGCAGGTGTCTTATGGATACACGTTCTAATGGATGTAGAGGGAATAGTTCTGATGCCTTTGATCAAGATCCCTTCACCAGCGTCAAGGCAGGTGGTAGGTGACGTGACTTTCTCCCGAGTGACATGTAGGCTGATACATTGATGCAGGTGGCGGTGACCTGACCCCCCTGGGTGTCATGTGACACTCACACAAACAATGGTGTATCCATAACTCTCTCTCTCTCTCTCTCTCTCCCCTCCCCTCTCCTCTCTTTTCTCTCTCTCCCCTCTCTCTTCTCCCTCTCCTTCCTCTCCCCCCTCTCCTCCTCTCTCTCTCTCCTCCTATCTATCTATCTATCTATCTATCTATCTACTATCAATCTATCTATCTATCTATCTATCTATCTATCTATCTATCTATCTATAATAATAATAATAATAATAATAATAATAATAATAATAAAAAATAATAAAACTTTATTTCTACAAGTACAATTTCAAGGAAAAA